TTTTTTTTTGGCGGAACAGGGGATTGAACTCAGGCCTTTGCACTTGCCAGGGAAGCGCTTATTCCACTGAACCATACAGTGGAATGTTATTTGGCCCACCGGATTTTTTTTATCTGCTCAGTTGTCAGTAGACACTAGGTTGTTTCTACCTCACAATGAACAACGATGTGTAAATATATCCTTATGATCTTGTTTTCAATTATTGTGGCTGCACTACAAGGTGGGATTGCTGGATCACACAGTAATTCTCATTTCCATTATTTTTTAAGAACTTCTATACTGTTTTTCATAGCAACATCACCATCTTATATCCTTTAGCCAATTTTTAAGCACATACCTGAGGGACACAGAAAACATCCACAGTGTGTACAGCCAGCAACACTTCATTTCATAAATTTTCCCCCAACCCATTAAACAGTAACTTCCCCTTCCTCTTTCTTCCCTTACTAACCTCTCATTTCTCTTTATAGATTTGCCAATTATGGGCACCCCATATGAATGGAATTATACAGTAGCTGTCACTTTGTGTCTGGCATGCCTTAGTGTAATGTTTTCAAGGTACATCTGCATTGTAGTATCTGTCAAAAAAACTGGGGAGGGGGGTAGTACCAAAGATTGAAACTAAGACCTTTACGCTGAGCTACAGCCGCTGCTCTTTTAGTTTGACTTTGAGTTGGGGTCTTGCTGGGGCTGGTAGTTGCTCAGGCTGAGCTTGAACTTGTCTCAGACTTCCAGAGTGCCAGGATTACAGGTATATGTCACTAGGCCCAAGAAATGTCCTAGTAAATGACTGAATAATATTCTTTTGAATGTACGCTAGCACATTTTGTTTATCCATTCACCTGTTGAGGGACACTTGGATTCTTTCCACCCTTTGGCTGTTCTGAATAAAGTTGCTATAAACATTAGTGTGCAAGTATCTGCTTGAATTCTTGTCTTCAGCTCTTTGGGGAATACAAACACAGTGTCGGATGTTAAGAGTGGAATTTCTGCATGATATGCTCACTCAGACACATGTAAGTCTATCATGGGAAGGATACCAGATTGCCCACCCTCCTTCCACAGCTAGGCAAAACTAGCCATGAGCAGATGTTTGGATTGGAGTTCTTTAGGTGGGTATTCACCTCCTGAACCAATGAGCTCTTGCCAGAATTCATGTGATGTGAAATGTAATGCAAAAAGAGGAGGGGCAGATTCTTCTAGAAATGGGAAGGGGGCAAGCTGTGACAGACACTTAAGTATGAGAACAGAAGTAGCTATGAATAAATTGATACAAGCTATGGATAAGGTTTAATGAATATTGCTAGATGAATAATAAATTGAGCTTTTATTGCCATTCTATAATTGAGTGTTTCAATTTTTTTCAAGTTATCCAATGTTCAATAATTCAAATTTCTCCTATTCTGCCCACAAAAGATTATTTCTTGTGAAACTCTAAAAAACAAAGCTTAACACATAAGGGTACAGGCTCTAGAGACAGGCTGACTGGGATTTTTTGTTTTGTTTCATTCATTTTTGCTTTCTCTCTTGAATTCTTCCTCTTCCTTCTACTCTTTCCTGGATCCTGAACCTTGGGGATTCTATGTAATTGCTGTACTGACTGGATTTCAATTTCATATCAACTCCTGCTGGGCTGAGGGCCCTTGTGCAAGTTATTTGTTCAACTCTGAGACTTGCTTCCTTATCTTTAAAATGGCATAAAATCATCCCTTCCCCCAAAAGACTGTTACATCCATTGGAACACGGAACATGTATGTGAGAGTGACGCATATACCTGGCCTCGCAATATATTCAAATCTGGATTTTCAAAATATCATTACCCTTATTTTGGATCTGGTATGAGATTAGAATGTGTGGTTGATGCGAAATTGTTTTCAGCCCTTGGACTGGCTTTAAATGTTTTAAATGTTTACCGCACATAATGACTACATTCATCACGGGCAGTTGGTATACGTACACAAAGCACAGGGATTCTCTTCACATCCCCTCCCCCACTCCCTCTTTACTTCATCCCTTGGTCCTTTCCCCGTCTTCTAAAGACCTGTCTCTGTGGATTGGCTTTCTTGTGCCCTCTCTCAATCTTCCCCTCCCCCATCAACATTAAAGAAAAAAGAAGCTCTTCCTCGATTTTTCTGTGACTCTCCAGTGTTCAGTCTCCTACTTCCTGCCAGCTGCTGTCATGGGTCATGGTTGTATTTTCCCATCATATAATTTCTCTTCTCTTTATTTAGTCACATTAGACCAGAGGTCTTCACTTGGGGGTATTGGAAGTTTTAAAAAATTCTCCTCTCTGGTCCCACTTCTGGGAAGTTGGGCTCAATTGGTCTGGGATATAACTGAGAGTCATTCAACAAACATTGTACAGACACTCTAGTGAGAAGAGTGTTTGAGGATTCTTGAACAATAGGAAGGACCAAGATTTTTTGCCTTATTTGGATGTTTTGGATTTCTCAGCGTCAGGGTTCTAGAAGTCACTCTATAATGCTTGTTGAGTGAATGAATGAGTTATCTTTGGCCTTCTCATAATTAATATACCTCTTTCTAGATTCCTGTCACTAGACCTTCAGTCCCAGGATATGTCCAACTGCCTAATGCATTACCTGGCACGCAGTAGGTGCTTAATAAACAGTACTTTGATGCCAAATCTATATTTTTAAAAACTCAAATTCTGTGTTTGTTACAGCAACGTGGGCTTACGGAGTATTATACTAATAACATTAGGGGATCCCTGCAAATAAACATTCAGAGACAGGCATCATCTGGCAAAGGGGCCGCATTGCTACCTCGAGAGCCATTTCACAGGCTGATGCGTTCCTGGGGGCACCCGGCTGAGGACCACCGGGCACGCACAGAGCGGCTGTGAACTGCTCGGAGCAGAAGGCTCTCCCCGCCCCCTCTCCCCGCGCAGCTTGCTCGCCCCCGCCTCCTCCTCTCCGCCCACTCTCGCCGCGGTCTCCTGGCGGCGGCGGCTTTGTCTCGTGGGCTGGTCCCCGGCGGCTTCCTCCCCCAACAGCTGCCGCCGACGGAGGACGCGGCGCGGGAGCTGTCCGGCGTCCCGGTGCTGAAACCCCGACCCCTCGTCATCCACCACTACCATGTAAGGCCATGAAAAGGGCTCGTCGTGGCGCAGCGCGGACATGGAGGAGGACTTATTCCAGCTCAGGCAGCTGCCGTGAGTACCATGGGGGCGAGTGAGAGGCAGATAGGCTTTCTTTTAAGAAACGCAAAGCTGCAGGGGGGCATCGTGGCATGGATTCCTGAATTTAAAGCCAACAGTTTCAAAGGAAGGAATTAAGGCCTGGAGCAGATAAGCCATTTTCCTAGCCGGGAACCCAGCTTCCCTGTCTCTGACTCAGTTCCATTTTTCAGATCGGTCAGGATCCTACCGGGAGCCACGGGTATCATATTTTCCCTTTTAATTGCTCTCTGCCCTAAAGGGAATTGTCAGGTCCGTGTTTGAAGAACGCATTAGCTGCTCTTTGGAAATGTGCGCTGAATTGATGAGGCTGTGCTGTGTCTGGGTCCTTGCCAGGGTTTCTCTTGTGCTGTGAAATCCCTAATTTTTCTGCAAGGTCCTTTGGAAATGAATGGTGCGATGTTGCAAATGGGGTTTCTAAAAAGCTGAGATGCCTTTCTAGAGGAGAGGCTTGAGCAAAGTCCTGTTGTTTATGGAATGTGTGAGAGAGAGGCTTGTGCGCCGCTGTCGCTGAAACCGCTTGCCTTCTTCTGAATGAAAGGGTTTTCTAACATCTAGCTAGAGTGAGACTCGCTGCTGGGAACATCAGGAATATGCTCCTTTGAGAATGCGAATTTTTTTAAGAATGCCAGATTTGTTTTAAAAATCCTGGGGGAATACAACCAGGCAACGGAATGAACAGGGGCCTTGCAGAGGGGCTTACAGATTTTTTTCTATCGCAAGCAGATGGTGACTTGTTAAGCAAATTCCAAGAGTCTTAAGAGGGGCATTTTAAAAAGCACATTTCTGGTGGGTTTTGCTTTAATTTTTAGAATCACTAGCCATTTGGATGGCAAAGTGGATTCTATTTGGGTTTGCTGGAAAGGGTACATTATTAATAGGAATGTGTAGCATGTGTGTATTCACTTGATTTTTTAAAAATGGTGTATTTTGTTCTTTGAGCTCCTAAAGAATTCTCCCAAGTGACTTTTAGTGTGACTGATAGAGCTCCCTGAGACTCTGAGTGCAGGAGAGGACTGTAACGCTTATCTTTCACAGTGTGGAATTAATTGTTATTTTAAAATTTACTTAATTTATATTTTAATTTCAAGCTTTCATTAATTGATTCATAATTTATGAATATAGTACTACTACTTCATGATTGCTGAAGGATACCTAGTTGTAACAACCAGGGATTGATGTATGAATAGATAAAAATGTAAACGAATGAGTGCACATCTCCCAAGGAAAACATACCAACTTTCACTGGAAACAAATATGTTGAAAATCCAAACTAACCACTATGAAGACAACAATATGCATTGTATTAATTATTGAAACTGTCCTATTAATAGGTTTTGAAGCTGTTTCATTGCTATATGTTTCTCAATAAAATAAATAAATAAATAGAAAATTCAAACTATTACCCCAAAATAAAAATAGTTCAAATATTGAATTATAAAATTTGGTGCTGAGAATAAGAATATTATATATATTGGAAACTCTAGTTTTGTTGGTATAAATTTTCAAACAATGTCATAGCATATGAATTTTGTAAAAGATTTATATATATTTAATCTAACATATAGACATGCTATTATTACAACAATTCTTTCCTTAATTAACAAAGGGTAAAAATAGGGGGCTAACTCAGTGGTAGAGTGGGAAAAAAATTAATTTAGCTTTCAGCCTTTAGATAGTTCAGTGGGAAAAGGCTTAGTTAACAAGCATGAGTCTTGGGCTCAATCCCCAGGACTAGCCAAAAAATTAATTTAGAGCTAGACATGGTGGCACACACCTGTAATTCCAGTATTCTGGAAGGCTAAGGCAGGAAGATCAAAAACTTAGCCTGAGTTACACAGCAACTTAGCAAGACGCCATCTCAAAATTGAAAAAATAAAAAGGATATTGATGTAGCCCACTGTGAAGGCCCCAAGTTAAATACCCAAGACTGTAACAATTAATTTAATTTTAATATAAATATATTATAAATAAAATCAACATAGTAAATAAAACTCAAAGAGGAGCACAAGAATAAAATGTTAGTCTTCCTCTTCCCAAGCTCCAGTCTTGTTACCCAGAATTGTTTCCTGCTTGTTCTTTCTGATATTCTGTAGACATGAGTATATATAATGTCAGGTAGAGGTTAAATTGTGTATCGTGTGAGAATATTTGCTCTGACTCAGACACAACTGGGTTCTAATCCTGATCCTGCCAGCTGTGTTACTTTAAGAAAATAAGTTAACCTTTCTGAGACACAGGTTTGCAGCTATAAAATCGAGATCATGGGGTAAAGGGGTAACTCATGTGCAAGACCCTAGGTTCAATCCCTAACCTTCCTCCCCCAATGATTATTATAATAGTACTTGATTCATAGGGTCATTGTAAAAATTGTTCAAGATAATGTGTGTTACATGTTTGCCAGGCACAAAATAGCGTATATTAGCTATT